TTTAGTTTGGGTTTGGGTTTAGGCTCCCATAATGGATCAAGTTTATGATCCAACACCCCCCTTAAACTTGATCTCGTGACCCCTAGTAGGTTCCTTAATCTTAAGAAGTCTTCGCTGGTCAGTGGCTTGGTAAAAATATCAGTAACTTGATCTTGTGACTTCACGTATTCAACTTCCACATCTTTTCTTGCAACACACTCCCTTATATAGTGGTAGCGAATATCAATGTGCTTGCTTCGATCATGGAATACTGGATTCTTCGCTAAGGCAATGGCTGACTTGTTGTCGGCACAAACCTTGGTAGGCTCTTCTTGTATCAAACCTATATCCTTCAATAGATTTCTAAGCCAAATTGCATGACAAACGCATGAGGTAGCAGCAACATATTCCGCTTCACAAGTGGACAATGTGACAATCGGTTGTTTCTTTGACATCCATGTGAACGCAATATCTCCCATGAAAAATATGAATCCAGTAGTGCTCCTTCGATTATCTATGTCTCTACCCCAATCATTGTCGTTATATCCAACAAGCTTGTAATCGTCAGAAACTGAATAGAACAAGCCAAAGTCAATTGTACCTTTCAGATAGCGAAGAATTCTCTTTGTGGCTTTAAAATGGGTGGTTGTTGGAGATTCCATATAGCGACTAACCAATCCAACTGTGTGAAGAATATCGGGTCTCGTGTAAGTTAGATAGCGTAGACTTCCTACCAAACTTTTGAAGAATGTTGGATCTACACTTTCACCTTCTTCATCTTTGGTCATCTTGATCCCGTATTCTGCCGGTGTGCTTCTTGGCTTACAGTTCTTAATCTTGAACTTCTTCAGTATCTCCTTTGTATAGCTTTCATGTGAAATGAAAATTCCATCATTTTGTTGCTTAACTTCAATGCCAAGGTAGTACGCCATGAGCCCCATGTCTGTCATCTCGAATTCTTTCATCATCATATCCTTGAATTAATTAAACATGCTTGGGTTGCTTCCAGTGAAGATCAAATCGTCCACATAGAGACACACGATCAAAATATCTTCATCTTTGATCTTGATATATAGAGCATGCTAGTAGGGACATTTGTTGAAGCCATTCTCTTGGAAGTACTTGTCGATTCGGCTATTCCATGCCCTTGGTGCTTGTTTTAGCCCGTAAAGAGCCTTCTTCAACTTCAACACCTTGTTTTCGTGCCCTTTGACTTCATAGCCTGATGGTTGCTGAATGTAAACTTCCTCTTCAAGAACTCCATTTAGGAAGGCGGACTTTACATCCATCTATTGTATCTTTCACTTGTTTTGAGCTACCAAAGAAATGATTAGTTTGATAGTCTCCAATCGAGCAACAGGAGCAAATACCTCATCATAGTCAATTCCAGCCTTTTGACTATAGCCTTTAGCAACTAGTCTCGCCTTGTGCTTTTCAATCTCTCCTTTGGCGTTTTGCTTTGTTTTGTACACCCATTTGACACCTATCGCCTTATGTCCCTTGGGAAGTGAGGTAAGTTCCCATGTGTCATTCTTCTCGATTGCCTTGATTTCTTCATCCATCGTATCTCTCCATTTCTTTTCTTGTACCGCTTCTTGAAAGCTCACTGGTTCACAATCGACAAACAAACAAAATAATGTAAGATTATCTTGTCGTTCAGTTACCTCATAGAGATCTCTAAGGCTTCTTGTGCGTTGCACAACTCTTTCACTTTGACTCCCACTTGACGATGACGAAGGTGATGAGTCTCATTGAGTGGTTGATGTTGGTGAAGTGGGTGGAGTTGCAAGCTCTTGTTGAGATTCATCTAGTTGTTCCCTCATTGTCTGCTCATCTTCTTCAAACTGAGGAAAGAAATTGAAGTCATCTGTATGAGAGTTAAAATCCCATTCTCTTTCTTCGTTGAAGACCACATTTCGACTAATCACAAACTTCTTAATGTTTGGATTGTACAACTTGTAGCCCTTCGAATTAGCATCATAGCCGATGAAGATAAAACTCTCCCTTTTATCATCAAGCTTCATTCTTCTCTCATCTGGTACGTGAACATGGGCTATACTTACAAAGGTTCTCAAATGGGAAATGCCAGGCTTTCGTCCACTCCATGCTTCTTGCGGTGTCTTTCCCCATACACTTCTTGTTGGAGATCGGTTTGTCAAGTAGACTGCACACGCTACTGCCTCCGCCCAAAATTCCTTGGGTAGTTTCTTGCTTTTGAGCATGCTTCGTGCCATGTCGAGGATTGTTCTGTTCTTTCTTTCTGCCACACCATTTTGCTTGGGGGATCTAGGAACTGTCATTGGTCGACGAATTCCATTTGCTTCACAAAACTCTTGAAACTCCTTGGAAATAAATTCTCCACCTTGATCGGATCTCATGGCTTTGATCTTTTTACCGCTTTCTCTCTCCACTGCTGCTTTGAACTTCTTGAAGACTTCAAAAACTTCTGACTTCTGTTTTAAGAAATATACCCAAGTTTTTCTTAAAAAATCATCAATGAAGAGAAGAAAATAGTTACTGTTACCGAGAGAGCTTGGCTTGATCGGTCCACACACATCGGTATGGATGAGCTCAAATGGCTTCTTGGCTCTTGTCTCTGACTCCTTTGGAAAGCTTTTCCTGAATTGTTTCCCGACTAGACACCCTTCACAGAACTGGTCAGGATGGTTGATGCGAGGTAGTCCTTTCACCATCTCCTTCTTAGATAACAGTTCTAGACCTCCAAAATTGAGATGCCCAAATCGAAGATGCCAAAGCCATGATGCATCTTTGTAGCAAGATTTCAGGCACTTTGCAACATCATTTTGTATGTTGATCAAGAACATTCTATTCTTTGACATCGGCACTTTAGCAATGAAGTTATTCTTATCATCTTTTATAGAAAGATTATAATTATTCATATGAATATCATAACCTTTCTCTACCAGTTGCCCTAAACTTAAGATGTTACTTTTCATATTGGGCACATAGTAGACATTTGAAATAAATTGATGTCTCCCATCTTTCAAACGGATAAGAATGTTACCTCTCCCTTTCACTGCTATTGTGGAATCATCTCCAAACGAAACATTTCCGCTTACTGACTCGTCTAGCTCCACGAACATGTCTTTCCTTCCACACATGTGATTGCTTGCACCACTATCAAGATACCAGGAATTTGCTTGGCAACCATCAGTTTCCTTTCGTGCTAGAAGAAGAGTTTCTTTTCCATCTGTCTTTTCATCCACGTAATTGGCCTTCTCCTCAATTTTGTTGTTGGAAGCTCTACATTCTGAAGCATAATGCCCAAACTTCTGACAATTATAACATCGAACTTGAGATTTGTCATGCCTTGAGTTCGGATTGATTCTTCCACGGCCTCGTGTTGAGCTTTCTCCTTTCTCATAGTTGTTGATGGAATTGTTGTTGTTGTAATTCCAGCCTCGTCCACGACCTCGACTTCCACCTCGTCCATGACCTCTACCTCTGCCTTGGCCACGTTGGTTTCTATCATTGCGTTGGCTCTCATGCATATCCTTGAGTTGCAGCTTGAGGAGTTACTCAGTAAACTCATGCTTCTTCTTATGCTTCTCTTCGTATGCTTGCAATGATCCTTAGAGCTGCTCGATCCTCATTTCTTCCAAGTCTTTAGTTTCTTCAATCGTCACGACGATGTGCTCAAATTTGGGATCCAACGAACGAAGTATCTTCTCTATTATCCTCACATCTTCTAACTTTTCACCATTTCTTTTTAATTGATTAGAACAACTACTACTATCGAGAAATAATCTGAAATAGACTCAGATGCTTTCATGTGTAAGGATTCGAATTCACCTCTTAATGTTTGGAGATAAACCTTCTTCACTTGCTCGGATCCTTTGTAAGAGGTTTGCAGCTTCTCCCATGCTTCCTTGCTAGAGCTTGCACTTGAAATCTTTTCAAAACCATCATCATCTAATGCTTGGTAGATGAGGTAGAGAGCCTTCTTGTCTCTCTTTCTTGAATCCTTCAAAGTTGTCTTTTGATCTGGTGTAAGAGTAGCAAAAACAACATCATCCACAATCTCGTTATAGCCTTTCTCTATGATATCCCACACATCTTGTGATCCAAGAAGTGCCTTCATTTTGATACTCCAATTGTCGTAGTTGTTGTTGTTGAGTGTCGGAACTTGGAATGGTGCCATACCATTTGTCATATCTCTCAATATAATGAGATTTTGTAAAATCCGATTGCACAGATGAATCCGGAACGCCGAAAAAACCTTGGGAGGGACTTGGACAACTCGGTCAAGGGCTCCAACTCGGCTGACTTGGCTCAACTCGGTGAGTCAACTCGATTTTCTGGCAACAGTTTTCCGGCGGTGCGTGGTGGTGCGTCAGAACTCAGATTGAGAAAATTCTGGCGGCATCGGATTCCTCTCGTCGTGACCTTCGATCTTTCCAACTCACTCTGATGCCACTTTGTTGGAAATAAAACACTCACACAAAATAACTTTTATTGAAACTCAAACAAATATTACAAGAGCACTCTCACTCAAAACAAGAACTACAACTCACTCTTATAAGACTTTGCTTCTTCACTCACTTAGAAGCTCTTAATTTTTCTTGATGCTTAAAACTAAAATGGGAAATGGTATTTATACTACTCAAGAACAATCCTACACCACACAAATAAACTAATTTAAACCATTACAAATTCAACAAATATCTAACTCTCACCTAACTAAATTAATGTAAGCAATGACATCATTACTTAATTGATGTAAGCAATGACATCTTTAATTAAATGATGTAAGTAATGACATCAATTTAGTTTGGGTTTGGGTTTAGGCTCCCATAATAGATCAAGTTTATGATCCAACAGATAGGTCATGGAAGATCTTCGAGAACGATACTTTGGCCCTTCATTCGAGCTTCAGTTGCATGAAAAGAAAGCAAGTGACAAGTAAGCAGGCTCAATTTATATCTTCCCAAGCATAATGTTGAAGCTGATGGATTATAACGTATATCATATAACACCCTTTTGCTGTAATTTATAAACAATATCCAGAATTATGTGCAATTCATGAAAAAGATCCATCCACAAGGCCAGAAGGTGGAGAAAGTGTTGAAGATGTGGTTGCTAGACTTGCAAGTGCAATGGCAACTATGGAATCCGAATGTCAGGGGTAAACAACTCGCCTCACTTTACTGAAAATCGTATCAGATTATGAAATAATAGATATCAGGGGTAAACAATCCAAATACCAAGCAGTTTCTTTGTTTTCGGTTTTCGATTCAGTACATGCTGAAAATCATATCAGATTATGAAATAATAGATATATTCTCTCCCCATAGTAGGCCAACTTCCAGCAAATTATGTGTAGAGTCATGGGAAATACTCAAATAGGCATGCTTCTGTTTGTGATTGGAAATTGGAATCATGAAACACTTTAGAGTGCTCACACTAGTAGTCATGCTCCTAGTTTACTCCAACTAAAAGTACAAATTTGTTCTCGAATATTATCACATCGAAAGTAGAATCGATTATCAGAGTTGTTATTCAGATGTTATGCTACTCGAACAAGGGTAGAAGTGTCCCATACTGGTATGCTGAATCTTTCATTTCTATGTATTTTATGAAGTTTTTGGAGGGTCATAGTCATATTCTGCTCTATAAATAGAAGAGTATGCAGCATTGGCCTAATTCGAAGTTAATATCGTTTGTTTCCCGAAGCAGATGTGCGATATTGGTTGTCAGCCATGGTGATCCGTTACAGATCTTGCAAACCATACTCAAAGCAGCTTCAAAACAGACGGGATCAATTTGCGGTGACTGGGCATCGAGAATTCAAGCTGTCAGAATCCCTTCTATTTTGTTTCAGCATCGGAAGTTCGTACTGCGTACAGGAGAGCTTAGGACAGTTCTGTAATCTGTGAGGGGAAAAAAACCTTGGGTTGGCCTGCATTCCATGTCTGAATAATGAACTTAAAACATTTACAATGGTTAATCTTCCATTACATTGGAGAAGAGAGATCCATTGATGGTGAAATCACTCTGTTATTGTTGAACTACAATGCAAATTTTAAATAAATTTATAATTATATATATTTTGAAATATTCGAGAATAATATAAAAATAATAGAGGTTTAGAAATATATAAAATAATCTAGGTATTTATAATATTTAATATTATATTTAAAATTATCTATAAAAAATCTATATATTTATAAGATTAATAGTTAAGATGTTAACATGTGTCGACAATCTAATGACCACTAAAATTTATAATATGAATGATATTTGAAAAGAGTAAAAAGTGAGAGTCAGAGAAAACGAGTTTAGAGATAAAAAAATATAATAATACTAGATAAGCGTATAATATTATAATTATAACTTGTATTCACAAAAAAAAATTATTCTCTTAAATCTTCTAGTTAATCCTTAAATATTTTAAGTTTTTAGTGTATTTGTGTTAATTTTAGGACAAACTATACATGTGACAACCTAACTATTACTTTGTTTCATTTTTACCAGGATCTTTTGAAGTTGTCGAAGTGTTTCCTCATGATGTTGTCGTTGACACAAGATGGGTATCGATTTAAAGTCAATGAGAAATTTTGGAGATACACACACTACAATTGAGACCATTAATTTGAACAAAATTTTCCAACTTTTTGTGTAGCCACAATTGTAGACGTAATTTTTGTACATATTTCTTTTGGTTTGTTTAGGTTTTGTTTTTATCTATACAAGTACTCATTTCATTGCAGTGACAATTCATTGTCGACACACTTTGAACCTTTTCAAATTTTGATGACTTATCATATGGGGCTTTTCATCATAAATTGTCGTGATAATCTGGTGGTCATGAGGACAGTTTCATTTTTTGGATGCATTAAAATCCCAACCTCTATTTCTTTCACCCACTTCATGTTCTTTGCTCTCACTTTTATCCATTTTTGCATTTTATAACTGCAACAAAAACTCCAAAAGTTAGTGGCGAAACACGATATTTATTGTTTGGGGCTATTTAAAATTTTGTATACGTATTAATCAAAATATCATACTAATTAAAGAAAAACTTATAAATCCTTAATTCACATAAAAATTCAAAAAATATATATTGATATTCCCACATTAGCTTATGTAACTAGGGATGACAACTCAACCCGAACCCGACCCGATCGGGTCAGATTTTTTTTTTAAAAATTCGGGGTCGGGTCGGGTTTAGGGTGAAAAAAATCCGACCCGACCCGAAAATATATATAATTTTACCTATATATTTAGGGATAATTACAATATTACCCAACTATATATAATTTTTTTTCAATTAAATCACTGTTTTTATCGAATAAAAATATATATTTTTTAATTATTTCGGGTCGGGTCAGGTGAAACCTTAATTTCTTCGGGTCGAGTCGGGTCACGGGTGGAGGACCCTTTCTTCTCGGGTCGAGTGACCCAAAAACCCGACCCGACCCATTGACATCCCTATACGTAACCCAGAATCGAGTTCTATAAACGAAAGATTAACGTCTTCAATTTCAACAACTGGAGACTTTGGAGGAGATTGACTACAACTCTGATGCTCAAGCCTTGGAGTGGTTTCTAAGTTTTAAAGTAAAATACTCATTCTTTTAAATAATTACATTTAATAATATATTATACAAATCTTTTGAGGATATATATACATACATATATACCCAAGTCTCTTAAGGCTTTCACCCCTGTCAAAAACTCTCATTTTTTTTCTCTTTTCTCACAAAGCTTTAACCTTTCTACTTCCTTACATCTTTTCCGTCTTAAAAAAATATTTGAATTCGCAAAGCACGTTCTTGAAGCATAACTCTATTTCCAGAACTTACATCCACTCCTCGTGAAGTTTGCGCATCTGGTTCATCGGAGCCACTAGAGAAAAAGATATTCCAGACCACGCATGCACGAAAACGCATCATAAGTTCATATTGAGCCATAACCAATACCTAGAATAGGGCATATCTTTGCTGCTGCAATAGCTATGGGGATAGGTTGTTCATCAAACCATCACTCAACTCCATTTAAAGATCTTTTGCACCCATCGAGACGATTATGCTCCAGTAGTAATATGCAGGGATTTAAATTGCGGTCGCAGCTGCATTTTCGGTTTCGTTGCGTTTATCGCGGTCTCGAACGTAACGGATGCTATCGCGGTCACTGTAGGTATCGCAGACGTAAATTTTTTTTAAATTCGCACAACTTATTATAAAATACAGTAATTATAATTATAATTATAGAAAATTAATTTTAATTATTTTTAGAGTATTTTGTAACACTTATAGACTTTTATTAATACATAAACACAATTTTTACCATCATTAATTATTTTTGTATTTATTTATAAATTTCTTAAGAATATCATATTAATGTTGAAAGTATTAAAATGGTTTTCAAGTTTGGTAACCAACTTTGAAAAAATGGTTTTCAAAGTTTGGTAAATGTTTCTTTGAAAAATAATTTTTTCTAAGTTTGGTAGATGTTTGTTGAAAAATGATAATGTGATCATCACAATTAATCCCTAGGTTTTAGGGTATTTACAAGATTAAGTCCTTAAATTTCAACTATAAATACCCTAGCTCATTTAGCTTCAAAACCATCTCAAAATTCATTTCTTTCTCCCAATACTAGAGAGTTTTCTTGTGAGTAGTGAGTGTTTTGTAAACACCTGTAATTTTTCTCTCTTAGTAAAAGATCTGCAGTAGTCCGGAGACGTAAGCACAATTGGCTGAACTCCGTTATCAATTTCGGGTATTATTTTTCTGCTTTTATTTCGTATTCTCACTAATCTGACTATAGGGAAATTACTTGTTACTTGTTTATTTCCCAACAACTGGTATCAGAGCTTTTGGTTGTGAATTCTATCAATTTTTTGCGGGGTTACTATTTGGGTTACTATTCACGTGAATAGTGAATTTCATGAATAGTAAATTTCGGTTGCCGATACGAGTTTGTCGACGGAGGTGTTCTAATACACGGCGGTTGTTCGCAGAAATTATCAGAAATGATCCAAACGAAGCCAAATTCGAGTGGGAGCGATGGCTGCAGACGAAGGGAAGGTGAAAATTGAAAAGTTCGATGGTGCGGACTTTGGATTTTAGAAGATGAAAATTGAAGATTTTCTATACCAGAAAAATCTATATCAACCCCTCTTAGGAAAACAACCAGAGGGCATGAAGAATGAAGACTGAGCTCTTCTCGACAGACAAGCCCTCGGAGTTATCCGACTGACGTTATCCCGCAATGTTGCTTTCAACATAGCAAAGGAAAAGACCACGGCGGGTCTTATGACGGCTCTCTCCAGTATGTATGAGAAGCCATCGGCCTCAAACAAAGTTCATTTGATGAGGCGATTATTTAATTTGCGGATGACAGAAGGGGCATCGGTGGCACAACACCTAAATGAACTCAACACAATCACAACCCAGTTGAGTTCAGTGGAAATTGAATTTGATGATGAAGTTCGAGCTCTAATTCTCTTATCATCTTTACCAGACAGTTGGAATGCTAATGTTACAGCAGTCAGCAGTTCATCGGGAAACAACAAATTAAAATTCGACGATGTTCGGGATCTGGTACTGAGCGAAGAAATTCGACGGAGAGAATCGGGTGAAGCATCAACCTCCTCAGCCTTGCACACAGAGTCTAGAGGGAGAACTTCAGAAAGAAATTCAAATCGTGGTAGATCGAAATCCAGAAGGGGAAAATCAAGAACAGGAAATAAAGATTTTACCTGTTATAATTGCGGCAAGAAGGGCCACTTCAAAAGAGATTGCCGAGCACCGAAGAAAAATACTGGCACACAGGAATCTGCCAACATGACGGAGGAGACAGGTGATGCCATGATTTTAAGCATCAACAGTCTGATTGAATCATGGATTTTGGATTCAGGGGCATCTTTCCACTCCACGCCATACCAAGAAATCATGGAGAACTATGTCAGTGGTGATTTTGGGAAGGTTCATCTTGCTGATGATGAAACCTTGAAGATCGTCGAAAAAGGAGACATCCGGCTAAAGCTGTCAAACTAGACCACCTGGAAGCTGACAGGAGTGAGACATATTCCTGGTCTCAAAAGAAATTTGATTTCTGTAGGACAGCTTGATGGAGAAGGATACAGTACAACCTTTTCAGGTTGTGAATGGAAGATTACCAAAGGAGCACTCGTCATTGCTCGTGGTAAGAAGACTGGTTCTCTCTATGTAACCTCAAATTTAGAGAATATCATTGCAGTAGCAGATGCTGATGGAAAATCAAACCTATGGCACCAAAGGCTTGGTCATATGAGCGAGAAAGGGATGAAGACGCTTTGTCAAAGGGGAAGCTGTCGGATCTAAAGAATGTAGATGTCGGACTATGCGAGGATTGCATCTTTGGCAAACAAAAGAAAGTCAGCTTTGCAAAGATTGGTAAGACACCCAAGGCTGAAAAGTTAGAGTTAGTTCATACTGATGTATGGGGACCATCTCCAGTTCCATCTCTTGCAGGCTCATTATATTATGTCACCTTCATCGATGATTCTACAAGGAAGGTGTGGGTTTATTTTCTGAAGAAAAAGTCAGAAGTCTTTGATACCTTCAGAAAATGGAAGGCCATGGTGGAAAATGAGAATGGTATGAAAGTCAAGCGGTTGAGGTCTGACAATGGAGGAGAGTACAGAAATAGGAGATTCAGAGAGTTTTGCGCAAACAATGGGATCAAGATGGAGACAACAGTTCCCATGACACCGCAGCAAAATGGCGTAGCAGAGCGCATGAACAAAACTCTGAATGAACGTGCCAGAAGCATGAGGATACATGCCGGATTGCCCAAATTTCTATGGGCTGAAGCTATTAACACTGCAGCTTACCTGATCAACCGTGGGCCCTCAGTTCCTTTGGATGGCAGAATACCAGA